CTCGTTGGCCGGGTCGGCGTCGGGAGGCGGTGGCTTCTTTTTGGGGAGAATAGTCATGGCGGCACCGCCGAGGACCCCCCAGCAAACCCGGCGCGCGGCACGCCGGGAGAGAACCCGGATGAGGGGGCTACTGTAGTGCGCGAAGCACGACGGGAACAGCAAGACCCGGATAAAGGGCTCGAGGCACCGGTTCCAGAACCGTCGGCAGCGAGCGGGTCACGCCGGGAGGAGAACCCGGATGTGAAGTCCAAGATGAAGGAACCGCAGCGAGTTTGTCGTAGCCTTCTCTCCCAGTCCAGCAAGTTTATTGCTACGCTCGTTCCGGCCTTCTGCTTCAAAGGAAACAGAACCAAAACAAGTACCCCTTCGCCCCTCCCTCTCGCAAGTTGTTGGGCTACCGGGTGGGGTCCCCCGGGCGCTGCGCACGCGCGCCAGGTCACAGCCCCGCCCCTCGCTCGGAAGTACGTGAGCAAAATCGCCGCCGCCGCCACAACAACTGCGGACACCAACCAATCGAAGCTGCTGCGTGGGTCCTCGACGACGCCCAGGGGCCAATCAGAGACGTCCGTTCGCCCTCCCGTGTCCTCCGTCTCGGATTTCAGTCAAAGTCGGCCCCCTCGTTCGCAGCCTTTCTTGTCTTCGGCCCCGTCCTGCTCTTCACTTCTCTCCGAGGCTTTGACTCCCAGGCGTGGGTATTGCGAAAGGACAGCGTGGCCTGCCCCGTGCACAATAATAAAAATGCCCCCCTCCAGACTCCCAACCTGAACACAGTCAGCCGGACTGACTGGAAAATATCAACACTCCAAGAGTATAGCATTCCCCTGTAGCGTCAGTTCCGGTCCCACCCACCTGCCGATCCCCTTCCGGCGGCGAGGTGGGCGCTGCCTCACCCTGGCAACAGGCGGAGTTCTGCTGTGATTGGTTAAGAGACGCCGTCACTCAAGTCGACAGGCCAACCTTGAGACATACACGCACCGTGGGGACTGTGGAAGTTTGGGAAACAGACACGCCTTCTTTGGCACCAGCGCACTCTCGCCCTCGCGTTGACCTCCCCTCCCCTGTGGCTAGTGCGCAGGCGCGGCACAGCCTTTTTTCCGAAACCGAGTTTGCTTGGCTCGAGCGAAATGTTTATGAACCAGCTCTGTCACCAGCAGGCGTCTCGCACTAGGGTTGGTAAAATCCCTGCTATTAGCGGCAGGAGAGCTACAAGCTAATCCTAGCTTCATTCCTGTCTGAGTGATCTTTGGCAAGTCGTTTAACACCCACCCCACCCACTATTTCTACTTCTCTGTAAAATGGCAATGATAATTCCAACTTAAAGATCAAAGATGCTTGTAAAGGGCCTGATGCTGTGCCTGGCACATAGTAAGTGCTCATTGGGCCTGGTGCTGTGCCTGGCACATAGTAAGTGCTCAATAAATGAGTCTGCATGGTGGTGCAGTGGAAGGATCCCAGGCTTTGGAGTCAGGAAGACATCCGTTCCAGGCCCAGATGGACCAGTAACAACTGTATGACCTTGACCAAGTCATTGTGTCTCTTTTGAGATTACTCAGATATAAAATGGGAATGATAATGCCTGCCCAGACTGCCTCAGGAATAGTTATGGAGTTCAAATGAGCTAATGAACCAAGAAGGTGTTGTGAGAGGTGAGGGCTTACTGCCAGTCTTGGGAGCCAAGCCATACAACAGGTTGACTAAGAGACCATCGGAAAGCTTTTCCGAGTGCCCCCGAACCTTCCCCCTTCAGATGTTGACCCTAGTTAAAATTCTTCCCTGAAAAGTCTCAGTAATAAACGAGCTCTACTGTTGTTTTCTGTTCATGAGACTTTATAGGAGGAGAAAACTCACGTTTACTGGGCCTATTGTGTTCACAGCTTTGTACCGATTACCTATGCACATTATCACGTTGAATCTTCTCCTGATTGTCTCACTCCAGACCCATGTATCCTACTGGATATTTGTCCAGCACTACACACCTAAACTGGACTCATGATAATAATTATGACGAACCTTCACCGAGTTCTTAACTGTGAGTCTGGCACTGTGCTCTAACAGTTTTGATCTTCCCTTTGACAGTGTAATAGTACCCCCATCCAGCCATTGCCCAAGCCAAAAACATGGAAGTCAACCTTGACTGCTCCCTCTTCTTCCTCAACTCCCACTTGCCTGTCAATTTCAAGTCTTGCCAATTCTACCTTCGAAATCTCTTGACTCTCCAATTCTACTGCCACTACCACTTTGGTCTAAGCCACCATCACCTACCAACTGAACTACCACAAAAGCCTCCTCACTGCTCTTCCTCCCTCGCCAGAATGATCCTTCTGAAACACAAACCTCATCATGACTTTCCTGTTTCTAAGCCTTCAGATATCCCCATTATCCTTAGGATGAAGTTCGAAATTCGTATCATATTTTCCAAGGTCTTTTGTGATCTGGCCTACCTCTCCATCTGTCCTCTCCTCACAGCCTCACACTCTCCTCCCTAGCCACACTGAACTACTTTCAGTTCCCCAAAGGCTGAGCTTACTCTCTAACCTCCATATCGTTCCACATGCTGTTCCTTCTGTTTAAAACATTTTCATCCTTTCACCTTTTTTTTTTTTTTCCCCAGCTGGCCGATACAGGGATCAAACCCCGGACCCCGGTGTTATCAGCACCACCCTCTAACCAATTGAGTTGACCAGCCAGCCCCTTTTCACCTTTTACCTGGTTGACTCCAACTCATTGCTTATGTGTTGGCCAGATTAGGTTTTCCTGCCATCTGCATGCTTCCATAGTCCGCTGACCTTAGTTCTACCACACTATGTTGTAATTGCTTAACTGTCTGCCTTCCATGCTCAACTCTGTACATCAGAGGCGATGTCTGCTCTGCCCATCTTTGTATCCCTAGGGCTAACACATAATGGGCAGTTAATAAATATTTGGTGAATAAATGAATTATCTCTCTTTCACAGGTTAACAACAGAAGGTAAGTGATTCTCTCACCCAGGGATTGGAAACCAGGTCAATCTGAATCCAAGATCTGTTTTCTCAGTGCTCTACAAAGCTCAGTCACACACTAGCCTAGCATAGCCAGTAGCCCACAAGAGAGAATGTAGGGGACAGCCACAAGGAAGGGGAATTCGCCAAAATGAAAGATGCTTTTATTAGTATTGAATTCAGTTGTTTGCTGTCAGGAAGCCTGGGCTTAAGTCTCCTCTAACCAACCACATGCTGCTCTGGGTCTTGGTTTCCCCATATGTGAATGAGGGAGCTGGAGCAGATGATGTTAAAGAGGAATGTCTCAAGACCCCTAGCCTGCCTTACTGGCCATAGATTCGACTCTTCAAACCACCAGTTCTAGAGCCTCATCTTCCAGAATACATCACCAACCATCTACCTGTCATACCTTTACCCCACTACAGCCCCTCTACTAGTTGAAAGGAATTTAAATGAGTGTTTTAGACCCCCCAGCCCAACCCAGCCCCCAAACCCACAGAGCCAGGAGGTACTCAGTCCTCATCTCTCCCCTCAGGTTTTATTGACTGATGCAAATGACAGCTTTATCAGCCGCCAGCTCCATGGGGACAGTGCTGGGGACAGGGAACCTGAGATGATGCCAGATTTCAGCCTGAGAGCAGAGTTACGGAAGGTGACCCAACAGGGAGAAGAGAGAGGAGTATGTGAAAAGGAGTTGTGGGGTAAGAGAAAGAGATAAAGAAGTTCATCCTGCCTCATACAACTCCCAGAGTTCAGGAACAACCCAGACCTCAACCCATGTCACTTCTGGACTCCTGTGTAAGGAACATGGAATCAGCCCCTGATCTCCAAACACAGCTCAGCTCTTGTTGGCTGCCAGTCTCTTATCTCAGCCAGTCCAGACTCCAGCCCAACCCAGGAAGGAAGCAAACCAGAGGAGGGGAGTGAAGGAATCATAGTTAGAGGTGGCTCCTCTGATTAGGGCAGATGTAAATGCTGCAGAAAACTGGTCAGAGGCTTTGCATAATGTCATGGCAGCAGCTGCTATTGCTAGAGTTTGCTGGGGGCCCAGTGGAGGACAGGGTTACAGGGACCCATTTTCAGCAGCCAGGGAAGGAGGTGGTGGTTTTGTGCTATCTGTGTGTGTTGGGAGAGGCAGGCTGACCCCTCAGCCAAGGTCTGGGGGTGGCAGGTCACTGCTGAGGCCACAGCCCCTGAAGCCTGTGGTTGCATTCCAAGCTTTGGAATCTGGGAATTGTTGGGCCTGGTGGAGGGTGGGGACCTCTCCTAGAGGCCAATTCAGGGGTGAGGGTTCTCTTCTCTGAACCCCCAAACCTCCACAGCCCAGCCAGAGGGAAGAGGAAATTTCAACTCTCCTTCTCAGGCCAGAGCTCAGATGTCAAATGGGAGCTTTAACTATCTCTGAGGGCCTGAGGGGAGGAGCATGCAGGAGGCCAGCCGGAGGAGAGGGGCGAGTCCCAGTGTACTGGGGCAAGAAGGTTGGGGGCCTGCGGAAGCCCAGTGTTTCAGCTCCTGCCAGGAAAATTGTCTGGAGTGGGGGAAGTTTCCCATTCCCTGGCTACTTCCCCACCACGTGGGCCATTCCATGAAACTCTATTGCATAGTTCTTGGTGGGGGGCAGAAGGAGGTCCCCTCGCCTGCCCCTCTCTGCCTCCCCAAAATATGGCTTTGGAAAACGAGTCCCCAAGAATGAAGAGGGCCCTCTGAATGGGCAGGCCTGCCCCTCACAGGGAAGAGATCTTGACAGTCTCAGGGAGGACGCAAGGGGTACCCAGCCTGGAGTTCCTGAGAGTGCTGCTGACCCTGCCGCCGCCACCAGGAGAGGAAGGTTGGCTTTCCTCTGGGGTGTTGGCAGGAGGGGTAGGGATACTGATAATGGCAGCCACGAAGTCCCGGCTGTCGCAGTTCAAGTCAAGGCTGTCATGGGGCTTGGCATTGAGGCTTGAGCGGCTGTGGACAAGGGTGGGGAAGATAGAAGGCTCTTAAAAAGTCATCTGAATACTCGCCACAGTAATCATGACATTTTTTGAACTCCTACTGGGTTCCTGGCACTGTGCTAAGTGCTTCCCCTTCATCCTCAATAATGAGGAGAGGGCTCTGGAGTCAGATAGTCCTGGGTTCAAATCCTGATCCCACTTTAACCACTCTAAACCTCTCTTTCCTCTCATGTGTAGCAGGAGAATAATACAGTTGGCCCTTCGTATCTGTGGGTTCCATATCCACAAATTCAACCACGGATGGAAAATATTCAAAAAATAAATAATACAGTGTAACAACTATTTATATAGTATTTACATTGTATTAGGTATTATAAGTAATCTAGAGATGATTTAAGATATACAGGAGGATGTGCGTAGGTTATATGCAAATACTATGCCATTTTATATCATGGACTTGAGCATATGTGGATTTCAGTAGCCGAGGGAGGTCCTGGAATCAATTCCCCCACGGATACCGAGGGACGACTGCATTTCCTACCTCATAGGGTTGTTGAAGAGATTAAATGACATAATAAATGACACAAGTGCTCAGAGAGGTGCCTGGAACATAGTGAGCACACACACAAAAATGTTCTCTTTTGGTTACTCCTAACAATGCCAAAATCCTTACAAGACTCTACAGTAGGATCTGCACAGTTGGGTCCTCATTCCTTTTTTTTCCTTTTTTGGCAGCTGGCTGGTAAGGGGATCCAAACGCTTGACCTTGGTGTTATAACACTACACTCTGCCAACTGAGCTCACCAGCCAGCACAGATCTTCATTCTCTTCTAACTTTACCTCCTACCACTCTCCCCCTCGCTCACTCCACTCCACCCACAGTAGCCTCCTTGCTGTGTCTCTAACATGCAGACCCATATCTGCCTCAGGCCTTTGCACAGGTTGTTCACTCTGCCTAGAAAGCTCTTACTCTACTTATCTGCACAGCTTCCTCTCTCACCTCCTTCAGTTCTCCACTCAGATGCCAATTCAGTAAAGCCTTCCCTGACCTCACTATTAAAACTGCATCATCTATTAAAATTGCTCTACACTCTCTATCCCCCATCCCTGATTTATTTTTCTCTTTGGTGCTTATAGCTGTTTGACATGATACATAACCTGTGTATTTGTTGTTTATTAACCTGATGTCTTATCCCACCAAGTTTCCAAAGGTCAGGGATTTCTGTCTGTTCTGTTCACTGCTACATCCAAAGTGCCTAAAACTGTGCCTAACATACAGTAGGTGCTCAATAAATATTTGGCAAAAGAGCAAATAAAGAATGAGGAATTCCAGACAAGATAAGCCCAAGTTCCCAGCATGGAGGAGTTTGGGTTCAAGCTTGACTTGCTAGGCCTGGAGTCATGAAACCTCAGGCCCATTGGTCCAAGCTCTGAGCTTCCCCAGGTGTGGCCAGCAGATGGGAGGGGTGTTTACCTCTGAGGGGCAGGGCTTCTCTGCAGCCCTGCTAGTGTGTCCAGCTCCTGCATGCTGCCACGGCTAACCGAGGCAGTGGAGTTGGCTAGGCGGATGGCACGGCGCTTGGCCCTGCGAGGGCAGCAAGAAGATAGCAGGCTGCCGGGTCCCATCTGCTGGGAGGACACAGAGGTGCTGCGGCTGGTGCGTCCACCCAGCGAGACAGCTCCCAGGGCCTCGCTGAAGGTTAGCTCATCTGTGAACTCATGACACTGTGGGCAGAAGGGAGGCAGGGTCACAGGGCACCCCACGGGAGCTGATCCCATCCCCAGTCCTTTTGCTCAGGCTGTTCCCTCCTTTCTGGAAGTCACTTTCTCTTCCCTTCCCTTCCCTTGCCCACCCTTCAAGGCCTAGCTCTGTTGTGGCCTCTTCCAGGAAGCCCTGTGTGATTTCCCCAATTAGTAGTAAGCCTTCCATCCAAGGGAGGAAGTTGGTTTGGCAGCAGAGGGACCACCTTCATTCTGCCATGCCACCTCTCATTAGGCCTCACCGTTGTCTTCTCTAGACAATGCAGCAAGTGGTGATGTTGCTGCTCGAAAGCAGAACGGTTCCTGACACACAGCACCTGTTCCTCCCCACTGCCACTGTCCTGGAGTGGACGGAGCAAAGACATGAGGTCAGCACCTTCCTTGTCATCGCCTCCCCATTATTGCTAACCCCAACACCAGTCTGGGCCCCTACCCACCTCGAGGCCCCCATTCTGTTTGTACTGCAGGAAGGCGTTGGTGGTGCCACTCTTTGCTAGCCGGATCCTTGCCAAGCGTACCTTCTACGAGAGAGGAGGAGATAAAGGGTGAGTTGGGCAAGTCCAAGAGTAGACTGGATTGGGGTGTGGGGAATAGAAGGCGCTCAGATGGAAGGTGCCATTACCTGCTGTGCTCGGCGCTTGTCAGCACGCTGGTTCTGGTGGTAGATGCGGCTAAAGTTGGACACAATGACTGGCACAGGCAGAGCGATGACCAAGACACCACTGAGTGAGCAGATGGACCCAAAAATCTTGCCAGCAATGGTGCTGGGCACCATGTCTCCGTAGCTGGGGCGGGAGGAGGTAGACCGAGGTCAGGAAAAGTGCCCACTCACCTCTTAGCCCCCAATTCCATCCCATCCAACCCCAACTTGCTCTGTGACCCTGGCCAGGCACTCAAATTCTCTGAGCCTCAGTTTCTTGCTTTGCAAAATGGGGAGAATGACCTCTCTGGCAACCAGTGGGGGTCAAATGAGAAATGGGCCTGGCCCTCTGCCCCTACCATCTGCTGCCCCCATCTGAGCTGCACACCAGGCATCTGGGTCAGCTGGAAATCTATTAATACCAAGCAGAGGAGGGAATGGGGAAGTCACAGGCAGAAAAAATAGCATCCTGGGGAGAGAGTCCCATGACCACAGGCCAGCCCAGGGGCTCCGAGGCCCGGGAGGAGTGTTTTGTTGGTTTTGCCCGCCTCTGTTTTGCCTTCTCTAGGTAGGTTCCCTTCTTATTACCCCAGGAGAAGCCTTGAAACTGTTCTCATATGAAAAAATAGGAGGGAGCCTTGAACTCCTTCCCATGGAGATGGAGCAGAGTCAACCTTACTAACTTTTTTCACAGAGAGGGAAACCGAAGCTCAGGGAGGTTCCCTACCTGACTTGTCCAAGATCTACAGCATACTTTTGTTCTAACCACAGGACCAATCATAACCCCTCCAAAGAAACACAGCCTCTGCAGTCTTCAGCCTCTAGGCTTTTGCTTAGTTTGTGCCCTAGGGTGGCTCTTCCTTATTTCTGTGTTTTGACTCATTTTATGCATTCAGTACTCTGCTCAAAAGTCTCTCCAACTTTGACATTTCTGTCCCTGTGATGTTTCATCTCAGACCATGTCCTCGGCTGTGAGACATGGGCAGCCATCCACGCTCACAGGGTTGTGGTGAGGACTGAATAGGGTAAAAGGCATCAAAATACCCAGTGCCAACCCATTGTCTATCCAATCCTGAACCTCCAACCAGAATTAATTTGTACTCTTTAGAAACCCCAAGTCAATTTTTCTGTACCTCTATTAAGGCACTGAGCAAGCCCAATTCATTCAGTCATTCAAAAGATACTGAGCACCAACTGTATACCTAATCCCAGTGGTGGAAACTTAGAGAAGGATCACAGCACCTGCTTTAGACAACATCTTTTTTTTTTTTTTTGTCTTTTTTCCGTGTCCGGCAACGGATCGCAACCCTCAGTGTTGCCCCCGCACCGGACCGGGGACCGGCAACGGGATCGCAAGCCTCGGTGTTGCTCCCGCGCCTCGCTCATCCAGTGAGCGGGAACCGGTCTGCACGTGGGATCCGAACCTTCGGACGGGAGCGCCGCCGCGCTTCCCAAGCGGCGCACTATTCAGTGCGCCACCGGGCCGGCCCTAGACAACATCTTTTTTTTTTTTTTTT